ATTTTCACACGGTATTTCGGGAATTTATCGAATAATTATTCCAGTTCTTCATAGAATCTGTCCTTTATATTATCACTTTTATCTTCTGTTGGGGCGTGAACATTCATAACAATGATATCACACCAGCGACCTTTTAGTACTATATATGATATCCTATCACTAATAAACTCCACCCTCTTAACTGCCGATACGATTCTCTTATGTACGAGAAAACCTGTACCTAATTCATGATTCTTACTCCCCTTTCCATAGAGAAATGTATATTCGCCTGCTGATTCAGTGCCACCTCCGCCCCATTTGACCTCCTGTACTCCCGCTAAATGTAACTTACATTCTGAAATTTCTTCTGCCACTGCCCTGAGCGAACCTGCCCCATACATACGTCTAACATTACCAAATCTCGTATCCAATTTTTTCGCTTAAGCCGTTTATCCAAGGAAGACGTTCACGTCTGAGGCTTCTTGTGATCTTGCGTAACAACCTTATTTTTTTAAAGTGATGAGTTGTTAGCCCAACCCCCAACGTGGAGGACCACCCCTTGTCGGCTGTCCGCGACTGCTTATCCAATATATTCGCAGCTACCCTCTATATCTGGAGGCTGCCTCCTCCATCCGTAACCTGAGGACGCGCCATGCCGTGGTGACAAGGGACCCACGTAACGTGGAACTGAAGGTACTACGTCAGGATTTGCCTGGAGCGACGAAGTAAAAACACGGAAATCTCAGATATGAGAGTTGGTACCCTGGCCAAGTTTCAAGCCGGGGACCTCCCGAATATAAGTCTCAACCGTTACCTTCTGTTCATGGCTGCGCCATAGTTCAAGCGGTTAGTCGCTGGCTTCCCACCGCGGCGGACCGGGTTCGATCCCGGGTCTGTTCAAGTGGGATTTCTGCCACGCTGGGGCAGGTTTTCTCCGAGTACTTCGGTTTCCCCTGCCAATCTTCATTCCACCAATTGCTCCACAATCACCCTCAGCTATCATCTGGAGCTGGTACAATGGGCCAGAAGTGGCCGCAGTACAAGGGACTTAGTCCCACCCCACTAGCAATAAAAAAAAAATACCTTCTGATCGAGCTTACTCGGTGAAATTGCGCCAGAAACTGCGATGACTTTTTTTTAATGAAAATGGCTTACTTATAAGGACGGGCAATTAAAACACCATTGGTGTTTATGACGTGGAGACTGCTACGTTTCTACAACAAAACAATACGTTTCTAAAATAAAACAAAGCGTTTTAGCCAACTCCCCAAGGACAGTGTTTACAAGACAACTCGAAGAGCAGAACTCACTCGATTTTCCGGTCTGAGGGACCGTAAAGTTACAGACATTTTTATAAAATTTCAACCGTGATATGTGAACGCTATAAACTAAGACATGGCGTAACCAGTTCTTTCATATTGGGGCCACTTCTCAAAGACAAGAATATAACGTCAAGCTAACTATTATATGGTACTCTATGACTTTCTCGTGTGTCCATTCAAAAGCTTAGTTTCTGCCTCATTCGCAATTAAGATTTACAAAAATGCGTCTGTTTGCTTCTCCATGTCTTCTTGTTTGTCCCCACAGAACAACTCGAGAATCGCTTCAGCGATTTTCACAAGATCTAACACGCTCGAAAAGGACTTTCACCAGTATGTATGGAAGTATTCTAATTGTGCTTAATTGACATTTATAATAAAGACCTACATGGGTCTTTTTGGCGTTTTAGAATGATCAAATGAGGGAGGATAAGATGGGCAGAGCATATAACATGCATGGGGGCCAAGAGGAATGTGTATAGGATTTTGGTGGGAAAGCCAGAAGGAAAGAGGCCACTAGGAAGACTTCCATGCAGGTGGGAGAAAAATATTAAAATGGATTTTTAGAGATATATGATGGGGTGTTATGGACTGGGTTAATCTGGCTCAGAATAGGGACCAGTGGAGGGCTCTTGTGAACATGGTAACGAACCTTCGGGTTACATAACATGCTGTGAAATGCTTGAGCAGCTGAGCGACTGGTAGCTTCTCAAGAAGGACTCACCTCCATGGAATCTGATTCATTGAAGGACGCTCTTTCAGCTGTATAGATTATGAAGTATGTGAACTATTAACTGTGAGTAAATACTTGAAAAAGCGGTCGCGGTCTATTTAAGGTATCAATTTAGCACTCAATTTTCAGAACTGAAGACAGAGGTAGCAGGTTCCTCCGAAACATTGCTATCTATCTACCAAACTACCATTAACTACATGGGCCAGTTTGATGTTTTCCTTCTTTCACATTTTCAATTTGGCAGCTTATGTTGACGGCGGATGACTTTATGTCTGCGAACTATGAATTGTGGGAAAAGGCGGAAGTGGTCTATGTAAGGCATGAATTTAGCTTTCGATTGGAGGGACTGATGACGACCATGACAAGTCTCAGTAAGTCTCCGGGCCGTGATCTCCTGAATACGAAGCAGAAATACTAATGTGTTATCCCCACGCTCTGTGCAATGGCAAGTCCTCAACATATCTCCCAGCGAGTGACCTGCAGTTCTCAAGACTGCAGTGTTCTTGGAGGTTACGCCGTGGTGGATTGTAGACAGGTACCAGCGTCTTGGAGGAACCTGCTGCCTCCGTCTTTAGGGTTGAAGATATAGCCGTAAGTTCCTCCGATTCTGAAAGGCGTCAGTCCTCAGAAGACCGTAATCTTCACACTCGCCGTAGTGAGATTTTGTAGTTCTATTTACCAATGTCTACGCCACGGATCACAAACTGTAGGCCCGCGGTAATCTCAGCGTCCTCTGCAGAATTCCGGATGCCCGCTAAAATTTTTATAAAAAGTAAAGCTATCCCTGTAACAGGCCGTGAAGGCCCACAGGGTGTGTGAGACGTTGAGGGTCCCACATTATCTAGACAATCGGCTCAAAGATGGCGGTAAGGTTGTCTGCCTTATGCGTCGGCCGCGCTTTACTTCCCAGGAAAATTATTTAATTAATTCCTGGTACTCATTTCTGTTAGAGGCGGAGTCGACCCCAGGGCCATAGTGCGGCCGGAAGGATTAGGTCAATTGAAAAAAAAATCCAATGACCTTATCGGGACTTGAACCCGCGACCTTCCGGCTTGTAGCATAGTGCCTCAACCAACCACGCCCCAAAATTTTATAATAAACCTAATTTTTGTTTGTTCGCTAATGATCTCATAGTATATGGTGATGCTCTATGGACTGAACCTCTGTACAGTGTCCAAGAATTTGAAATGTTGTGTTTGCACCACATTAATTGAGGGGTTTGGGACGTGTCATAGCTCAGGCAATTAGTCGCCGGTTTCTGACAGCGGCGGCCGGCGTTCGAGCCCAAGTCAGGTCACGTTGGATTTGTGGTGAACAAAGCGGCACTGGGGCAGGTTTCTCCGAGTACTTCGGTCTCCCCTGCCAATTCTCATTCCAGAGACATCTCCACACTCATAATCTTTAGTCCGGGGCTGGATACAATTGGCCAGTTAGTGGTCGACGCACCGAGTTGACTCACCCCACGCAACCCCAGGGAACTAAAAAAATAAGGGGTTTCGAAAGTAGGTACTGGTCACATTTTCTAAGAAAGGTAGTACATAGAGTTTCCTTTTGTAAATACAACATGCCTACGAAAATATCTTCATACGAGAAAATGAGGTGCTAATCCACCCGCAAGCTAATTATTTTAATGTTATTCTCAAACACCGGTTGAGTCCAATATCTAGGCTTTTCAACTGCACAACACAATTCTGCCACAATTCATGATGTGAGACATCGTCACAATATGAAAAACACAGAGTCGAATCCAGGCAGAACATGAAAAATTAAAGAGGTAGTGACAAACATACGAAATTAAGTGGAAAGTAGTTACCAGAATTATCAAACACATTACATGATAAAATCAGGAGCCGGGATAGCGCAGTCGGTATAGTGGCTGGCTACTGGCTGGACGGCCGAGGGGTCGGAGTTCGAGTCCCGGTAGTCAGGAATTTTCTCTTCTCCACGTTGTCCAGACCGGCTCTGGGGTCCATTCAGCCTTCTATCCAATGGGTACCGGGGCTCTTTCCAAGGGGACGGAGAGGCCGGGACGTGAAGCTGACCACTCACCTCCAGCTAGTGCCGAGGTCAAGAAAATGTGGGTCTATACATCCACTCCCCCATACGCCTTCATGGTGTAGTCCTTAATTAGTTAAGCAAAGGGACAACTTTAACTTTTTCTACCTTTGTACATATAATCGAAGAATACGAGGCAATTTATTTTGACACTGTCAATAACAAAGGCAAAGTCGATATATCTCGATGTTGTCTGGAACCAATACATGCTACTTGAGCCAACCGTATCTCGATATGGCCTAGAACCAAGACACGTTACATTTTTATGGCCAACCCCTTACACACATACACAAGACACGTTACATGAGATACTCATATCTCGATGTGGCCTAGAACTAAGGCACATTACACGAGAAAATCGTATACTGATGTGGCATAGAACAAAGCCTCGCCCAGCGGTACCTGTTCTGTTGCCGGCAACACACACTGTACTAACGAAAGGAGGGCAGTTTGAAAACGGATCAGGGAGTTGCATAATCAAATCCGCCCCAGGTCTTCTACATGATCTCTTCCCTTTACGTTTTCTTAATAAAATTTTGAACAACACACATTTCAGATGTGTCATTTGCGTGCTACATGACCCGTCGAACTCAACCCCCCCCCTCCCCCTCGTATCCATTGGAGCGGAGGTTGGGTGAGCGCCAGAGCCGATCTAGTCTCTATGGCGCAGACAAAAATCCGTTGCCCCTGCAGTTATCCCGGCTCCTACTCTATGCGATCACAATATTTGGTGACAAGCAGGCGTACAAATTACGAAGCTTCCCATTACACAATTTTCTTCAGTCTCTTCCTGTCTCTTAGAGCCAAGTACGTGTATTCTCGATCTTTTAAGCTCTCTGTTCTCAGACACTCTCCATATATATGCTTTTCCCGTAATATAATGGACTGAACTACACAGCAAGCATTGTACTTACAATTCTCTGCGTCTTATCCGGTGCTATCGCAGTTATCTCCAAGTTCTTGTGCTGGGACCCCCTACCGGTGCGCGGTGAGTCACGTGATCCGCCGAGTTCTTGTCTGAGTCTCACGCCGATCATATTTGGCACTTTGGTGACCAGCGACAGGCGCCGAGACAGTTTCCGGCAAAGTTTCGTACGCCGTGACGCACTTGTCAACGCACTGTCGACTCCGGTATCCATGATGACAAGCGACAGTTATGGAAATACAATCAAACAAATCTGTCCACTCAATCGGGATAATTTCGAAAATGATTCAAACACATTCACGTACATCTTGTCAGCGTTCATTACGGCACAACAAAATTCTCACTAGAACAACTCATTTTATGTGCACAATACATTTCTTTTACAAGACTTCGCCGCCACATGATTCAATTTGTGCACGTGATGTGTGTCCCTGTTGCGCTACAGTGTCCTCAACATTTATACTCAGCGAGATATATCGAAATTCGAAATTTGTTTCTCATTTCACGATTATATTATCCATTCATAAACATAAATTACGCAATACTCTCTCCTGTAGCTATAATATTACAATTACTCTAAAATAATTCGACGAACTGACAATTTTGAAATTATTAACTCTATTTAAGGGCAAATCTGATCAATTATGATGTCCTTCTGTATTTTATTATCCACTTGAAATCCAATTAATCATTCTCATGTCCCAAGTGCACTGTCAAAACTGCAGAAATGTAAGAAGACGTGCGATATGACATTCAACTGCTGAAGACAACAGCAAAAAAACTACCTTGGGAATCCACTTAGAATTACTGTAGTAGTTGAATTGGGTATCACATTAACTACAACACTTCACAGCTACGTCTCATTAAAAGATTGTCAGCTTGTGGTTCTTCTGATTGGGTGCACCAAAATGAATCGGCAAGCTCAACACATCAGTTTGCTGAAGTACATGTTTGTCAGTTAACAACTGCAGCCAATGAAGCCTTCACATCCGCATTTTACTTCCACTCCGAATGTACAGTCGATGGTTCGCCACATCTAACGACATGCTATATATAGGCCTAAAGTAATGTTGATTAAAATCACTATTGTCCTTGTGTTTTAGTTTAAAACAGCATGAACCAAGCAGCAATTCAGAGCTACGTTTCATTTCGTTAAAACATAATCCGTATCATAATGACACTGGCACACCCAGTCTGTTTACGATGCTGTATTAACTGTTGAGGTTATGGGCTGTCGATAGCTATTCGCAATCAGCGTCACTGTGGAAGTATGGGTCCCACATCCTTTAACACAATAAAGACACTAAAATCTCTTTAACCATAACGTCCAAAGTAACGGTATATGTTCACTGATACGATCTGACAAGTGAGCACTGCGGGTGATATGCAACAGCACACTCGCCAAACCCAGACATACACGCGCACAACAATTTCCTTCGGCAGCCGGCACACTACTACTGGCCTCATCACGTGTTGGCTGAAGTTCCCAGCCCCGCCGCTGAGCGACGCTGCTATCGCTTGCCCTACTACTCAAATGGAAACAGTTCTTGGCACAAAGAACGACGTCATTCCAACTGCAGATGTTATGTTATGTCGCTGGTGAGCATGAATGAGGAGCAGCAGAACTATCTTGTTGTTGGTATAGTACTGTTTGACATTCACCTGGAGACATCGAGAAACCTATCCCAAATTACTATGACACGAGTGGAACCACTTCCTCGCTACAGCCATCTGCGCGGAGTCTGTTGGGGTCAAAATTAGTTCTCTTCAGTTTAATTTCAGTACTCTATTAAAAATCGTAGAATGGAACTCCAAGGGCTTGTGCCAACGTGCTCGAGAAATACAGACATTCATACTAAACTTCGACTTTGACATACTCCTAATCTCAGAAACTCACTTCACTGACAGAAGCTACATAAAGATACCAAAATATAATGAATATAGCACCAATCACCCTGACAATACAGCTCACGGAGGCACGGCAATAATTATAAAACAAATAATCAAACATCATGAACGAGCTAAATACAGTCTCAACAACATACAAGCCACCCGTGTCACCACAGAAGACAGCACAGGAGAATTGACAGGGGCAGCAATGTATTACACGCCCAGATATAACAATAAATACGATGACTACACCAACTTCTTGAAGACATTAGGTAATCGATTCCTAGCAGGCGGAGACTTTAATGCCAAGAATACAAATTGGGGTTCAAGAATTACAACAACCAAAGGCAGGGAACTACAAAAATAAATTAGAAACAATAACTTAATTTGTATAACAAGGCACCCTACGTACTGGCCGTCTGATCCTAAGAAAATGCCAGACTTAATTGACTTCTGCATCGCAAAAGGAATCAACTAAAAAAAAAATAAAATCCTCGTTGAATCATGTTTGGAGCTTACCTCGGATCATACGCCAATACTAGTGACCATCCTAACCTCCGCGAAAAAAGGAAAGCTAGAAAAAGATGGCAACTAACAAGGACTCAAGCTGATAAACAAAAGTACAACAGACTTGCAAAAGAACTTGAAAAGTTAACATATAAATTAAAAAATGACTCAATACGAGAATATCTCAGAGGACTAACCCCAACCGAAGCCACGAATTATTCTTTGTGGAAGGCTACCCGTAAATTAAAACAACCTAAACTGCATATACCACCAATAAGGAAACGAGACAACACCTGGGCTGGAACCGACGTGCAAAAGGCTGCGACTTTTGCCGAAAAACTACGCACAGTTTTCCAACCTAATCCACAGTTCAACTAAACTGACTATCTCTTCACCCTCCCGCTTATAACATCTCGGCTGTTGCCTAGTAACGGCCGTTGTATAGTTGATTGTTTCGGGGTCGTTGTCTAGCAAATGGTATACATGCCACATAAGTTCATCTACATATCTAAGAAATTTCATTTCTGAGGGTTCTGTCTCTTATTTACAGTTCTTCCTAGCTTTCGCATTCCAGATCTGTTTGATAGTGTCGGGAGAGCCATAGTTTTACAGGATTTCATCTGTGTTTCTTTCCTTGTGCTTTGATTCAGAACTCTTCTTATGGTCCCAAAGTTTCTATATGACTCAATTTACTCAGTCTTGAGTTCGCCTACTGTGGTTAAGATCTTTGTATTTAATTAAGCACCACATCGTAAAGTCGTATGGAGGAGTGGATGCACAGCTCCACGCATTCACAATCTAGATAGAGACAAAATAACAAACCTACATATCACACCTCAAGCAACTTCGTGGACAAATTTAGCGGCTCATGTCTAGGATTATATAAAGTCTAAAATGCTGTATCATATACAAATTTTGTTCATATAGATAAATTCTTAATTATAGAATTTCATAAACTACGTAAATACAAAGTACGTGAGAATAAATTATTTTACATTAATGACAACAGACAGTAGCAGCAAATGCTCATATTTTCATCATAAATTATAATAAAACAATTAATGTGAGTGATGGAACTCTTTTTGCATTCTTAAAATCTGATTAAATTGAGGTTCAAATTTTGAAACGCTAATCACAAGTAGCGACTTTAAATGTTCATTGGATAAATTTGCCCTGTATTTCGACTTGATGTACTTCATCTGGGAAAAAGTTTGTTCACACAGATATGTCGTCCCAAAAATGGAGATAAATTTATAAGCAAATTTCTTTAAATTTGGAAATTGCTCAGAGTTCAAAAATTTATAAAATTCGATCAAATTTCTTTCCGTGTATTTGTCTTTAATATATGATACTTTTCCTGAAATTCAATAATTTCAGTTTGAATTTGACTTGGGACATTTGCAGCATCACAGTCAAACGGATTTTGAAACAATCTAATTTCGTGAGCACTGGCATCCAAATCAGCAAATCGCTTCCGAAATTGTTCTTTCAAATCTAAAATGACTAAATCTGCAAA